CGCACGCCTTTAATCCCAGCACTCGGGAGGCAGAGCCAGGCGGATCTCTGTGAGTTCGAGGCCAGCCTGGACTACCAAGTGAGTTCCAGGAAAGGCGCAAAGCTACACAGAGAAACCCTGTCTCGAAAAACCAAAAAAAAAAAAAAAAAAAAAAAAAAAAAAAAAAAAAAAAGAAAGTGGAGAGAGACAGAAACAGAAAGCAGTGTCTACTTGTTATAAGGACACCAGTTCTGTAAGATTAGGACCCAACCCTTATGACCTCGTTTAACCTTAATTATCTACAAATGACTAAATTATCTCCTAAAACCTAATTATCCCTAAATCCAAGGTAAATCACACTGGGGATTCAGGCTTCAATATAGACACTTTGTGGGAATGTAATGCTCATCACAATAATCTACAGCAGTGTATCCTGCTGTAACCAGGTATAACAGTAATAAATAGAATGTAATATCCTTATTAAGTCTGATCCCAATCACTTTTATGCTGCCACAGTTTGGAGATTGTGTCTTGACCTTGCTCTCTGAGCTGAATTCCCATGGTCAGTAAAATATACCAATTTCTCATCAGGTAATCCAAAAATCAGCTTCCATTTCACAAATCTCCTCATTTTGCATAAGGAGCCTCTTGTCCCAACCTGACATGAGTAGAAATAGAAATGTACCAATTAAATGATTGTTCTGTGTATCAAAATCCTCATTGGAATATGTTGGGCAGGAAGCAATTTTCTCCTCACTTATTTTCATGAATATACATGACTGAAATGTTGAAATCAAACACACATTAGTTGGAGTCTGTACCCAACATGCAAGTATATCTAATTTATCCTTTTTTTCTTTGTAGCCTGGGGTTAAAAAAAAAAACGTGAATGGAGAAAGATGGCAAAATCACCAAATATTTATAAACTACTTAGCAGTTTAGAAAGAACATGCATGCACTGGTGGGGGAGTTATGTTAACTATCAGGGTTTCACAGATAGGACTCTGAAATACTAATTTCTCCCAAGATAATTCAACTGTTACATTACCTGTAGATTTAAATAATCCCCTCCATTAATTTTGGAATCTGAGCTTCTCTCCTATCCTTAGATGCCTCTGAAAATCCAAAGCTTAATTTTTATTTTGCGATGTATTTCATATATAAATTTGACACATATTAAATTAGTGCATCTGCTCACAACAATCTTGTAAGCTGGAGGTAAAAAAAATTGAGGATGAGGATTTGGGGTGATTAACTCACAGAAGGCCTGGGGTGATAGAGCTTAATTGTAAGCATCAGCAATCTGTCAGCACAGGATTCACAGAGCCCTGGGCTCCATGGATTCTGCTTTCCTGATGATTGGCAGGTTTTCAGGTTTTACCTGGCCTTCTTGTCTTATGTCATTTTCTCTCTTCATTTTCAGCTGGGAGAGTGAACCCCACCCCTGACCTTGCCTGGTATCCACTCCTCATCTTGTCTATTTTCTCATTGCTCTGACACAGGAAGAACTTAAGGAAGAAGGGATTTATTTTGCTTCACAGTTCAAGGGTACAGTCCATCTTGGCAGGAAAATCATGGTATAGAAACTAGATGTGGCTGCCCTTATTTCATCCACAGTCAGGAAGCAAAGAAAAATGAATGTAAGCTCTCTACTAGTGTTCTCCTTTTTATTCAGTCCAGGATCCCATTCCATTGAAAGTTGCTACCATATTCACTGTGGGTGTACCCTTCTCAGTTGAGCCTCATGGAAATTCCCTCTCAGGCATCTTGAAGACGTGGCTCCTATCTGATTGCAAATCCAGTAAAGTTGATCATGAAAATCAGCCACCACACTTGAGCAACTTAAGCCCAATCATCAGGCCACTTAGGATCCTCATCCTGGGCTTCTTTTTATATCCAATCATGATCTGAAAATATCTAGCCATAAATGATACCATATTAAATACAAACTACATTTATATTAAAAATTCTGGTGTCAAAAAGACAAACATGCTATGTACTCACTTTTAAGTGGATATTAGCTATAAAGTAGAGGATCACCATGCTACAACCCACAGACACAGAGAGGCTAGGATGCACTAGGGTAAGGGCGGTACAGAGATTGTGGAAGTGGACAACCAGTGACTGTTCCAGCCTCAGACCTATGCCATGAGAGTGAACCCTACCCCTGACCCTGCCTGGAGCACCAGGACCCAGAGGTTGCATGGCCCAGAGACCTAGGATAGAACCAAACACAGTTAGAGAAAAAAAAAAGTCAATGTAATGATGTCTAACAATATTTTGTTATACTTATAGATTGGTGCCTAGCCCGATTGTCATCAGAGAGGCTTCATCCAGCATCTGATGGAAACAGATGCAGAGCCCACAGCCAAACACTAGGCTGAGCTTGGGTAATCCTGATGAAGAGAGAGAGGGAGGATTGTAGGAGCCAGGGAGGTCAAGGACATCACAAGGAGCATGCATGGGACTGACCTAGGCCCTCTGCATGTATATGTCAGTTGTATGGCTTGGTCTTTTTGTGGGACTCCTAACTGTGGGAACAGGGGCTGTCTTAGAATTTTGGCTGGCTTTTGGGACCCTATTCCTTATATTGGGTTGCCTTGCCCAGCCATAATACAAGGGGAGGTGGTTAGTCTTACTGAAATTTGATATGCCAGGTTTTATTGATATCCATGGTGGGGAGGGGGTTGCCCTTTTCTAAATAGAAAAAGAGAAGGTGAGGATTTAAACTGGCAGAGGGCAGATGGGTAGAGAGAGAATGGGAGGAAAGGATGGAGGGGAAACTGTGGTTGGGATATAAAATAAATAAATAAGATTTAAAAATTAACAAATTAAAAAAAAAGCCTCTGGTGTCAGTAGGAGGTTAAAAGTTAGGTCAAAACCTGGGGGGCGGATTTATACTTAGAATATGTAAAGAATCCCTACAAATCAATAATTAAAAAATACTTTTCTAAAAGCAGTTTAAACATTGATAGGAACTTCAAAAAACATGTTTCAGTGATTGCCAAACCTGAAACTGTGTTTAAGTTCATTTGAACCAGGAAAAGAAAGTTAAGATATCATTCAGACCTAGTCTTAGAGTCAATCCACTAAGGTAACACTTCTGACAACAGCGTACTGTAGACAGCGGAGCACTGGAACCTCCCTGGTCTTCTCTTGGGAGTACACGGTCAGAAGCATCTGTGATAGTTGAACAACATGACTCCCAGAGTGCATAGATGTCACTTCTAGACATATAACCAGAGGAAATATTTATGCAAAGATTTAATATTATTCCTCCAAATATCTTTTAGTTGGATCTTCATTTTTCCCCAGCAGAAAATGAAGACTGAGTATTAGCAGCAGGAATTTGGTTTTACTTTACCCTCAGATTTGTCCTTAAACACTAAAAATGCCATAATATATTTATTTAAAAAAATTAATCATTTTACATACCAACCACAGATCCTCCTCTCATCCCTCCTCTGCCTCCCTCCCTGCCTTTCCCCCCTAACCCCTCTCCTGTCCCCTCCTCTAAGAGCATAAGTACTCTCATGGGGCAACAGCAAAACCTGTACATTCAGTTGAGGCAGGACCAAGTCCCTCCCCCCTGCATCAAGGGTGAGCAAGGTGTCCTACCAGAGGTAATGGGATCCAGAAAGCTAGCTAATGCACCAGGGGTAGATCCTGATCACACTGCCAAGGGCACTTCAAACAGACCCAGCTACACAACTGTCTCTCATATGCAGAGGGTCTAGTCTCGTCCCATGAATGTTCCACAGCTGTCAATCTATAGTTTGTGAGTTCCTATGGGCTTGGTTCAGTTGTCCCTGTAGATTTGCCCATTATGATCTTGAACCACCTTGCTCATATAATCCCTCTTCCCCTTCTTCAACTGGACTCCAGGAGCCTAGCCTGGTGCTTGGTTGTGGATCTCTGCATCTGCTTTTATCACTTACTGGAAGAAGGCTCTATAATGACAGTTAGGTTATTTACCAATCTGATTATCAGGGTAGGTCAGTTCAAACACCCTCACCACTATAGCTGGTAGTCTAATCTGGGGTCATCCTTGTGGGTTCCTAGGAATTTCCCTAGCACCAGGTTTCTCCGTTACCCCATAATGTCTCCCTCTATTAAGATATCTCCTTCATTGCTCTCCCACCCCAACATTCCCCAGCTCAACTATCCCATTCTCTCATGTTCTAATCCCCCATCCCTTTCCCTCTATTGCCCCACCTCATCCCCAGTTTACTCATGGAGATCTCCTCTGTTTCCCCATCCCAATGTGATCCTTGTGTCCCTCTTAGAGTCCTCCTTCTTTCCTAGCTTCTCTGGAGCTGTGGGTTATGGTCTGATTATCCTTTGCTTTACATCTAGCATCCACTTATGAGTGAGTACATACCATGTTTGTCATTCTGAGTCTGGCTTACCTCACTCAGGATGATATTTTCTAGTTCCATCCATTTGCCTGCAAATTTCATGATGTCATTGTTTTTTACAGCTGAGTAATACTCTATTGTGTATATGTACCACATTTTCTTTATCCTTTCTTTGGGTGAGGGGCATCTAGGTTGTTTCCAGTTTCTGGCTATTACAAATAATGCTGCTATGAACATAATTGAGCAAGTGTCCTTGTGGTATGATTGAGCATTTCTGAGGTATATGACCAAGAGTGGTGTCCTTGGGTCTTGAGGTAGATTGATTTCCAATTTTCTGAGAAGTCACCATACTGATTTCCAAAGTGATTGTACAAGTTTGGACTCCACCAACAGTGGAGGAGTGTTCCCCTTGCTCCACATCCTCTCTAACTTAAGCTGTTATCAGTGTTTTTTATCTTTTTTTCTTACTTAGTTTTTATTCATAATCATAAACTTAACACTGCAATCCAGCTAGATTTGGGAGGGGAATGAGGAGAATATGGAACCCAGAGAACTTCAGTGAGAGTGGAGATTACAAGGTTCTATGAGCAGATGGGGTGGGGGTGCTCTCCTGTGCTACAGAAGGAATGGTCTGGTGGGTAGGAAGCCCGCAAGTTGAAAGAATTAGAGTTGTCTGCAGTCAGAAATGGTGATCTTCTTGCTGGTCTTACCATTCCTGGACCCAAAACGCTCCATGGCTTCCACAATGTCCATGCCTTCTTTCACCTTCCTGAAGACCACATGTTTGCCATCCAGCCACTCAGTGTTGGCGGTGCAGATGAAAAGCTGGAAACCATTTGTGTTTGGTCCAGCATTTGCCATGGACAAGATGCCAGGACCTGTATGCTTCAGGACGAAGTTCTCATCCTCAAATTTCTCTCCGTAGATGGATCTGCCGTCAGTGCCATTATGGCATGTGAAGTCACCATCACCCTGGCACATGAATCCTGGAATAATCCTGTGAAAGAAGGAACCCTTATATCCAAATCCTTTCTCTCCAGTGCTCAGGGCGTGGAAGTTTTCTGCTGTCTTTGGAACTTTGTCTGCAAATAACTCGAAGGAGATGCGGCCCAAGGGCTCACCATTGGCCTTGATGTCAAAGAACACGGTGGGGTTGACCATGGCTGCAGCAAGCGGAGACAGGGGACAGAGGCGTCTGTAAAGCAGGGCAGTGTTTTTGATCTTAACCATTCTGACAGGTGTAAGATGGTATCTCAGAGTCATTTTGATTTGCATTTCCCTAATGACTAAGGATGTTGAGCAATTCTTTAAATGTCTTTCAACCATTTGAGCTTCTTTGGTTGAGAATTCTGTTTAGATCTGTAGCACAATTTTTAATTGGACTGTAAGGTATTTTGATGTCTAGTTTCTTGAGTTCTTCATATATTCTGGAGATCAGCCCTCTGTCAGATATGGGACTGATGAAGATCTTTTCCCATTCTGTAGGCTCTCATTTTGTTTTATTTGATGTGTCTTTTGCCTTACAGAAGCCTCTCAGTTTCAGGAGGTCCCATTTATTAACTGTTGCTCTCAGTGTCTGTGCTACTGATGTTATATTTAGGAAGTGGTCTCCTGTTTCAATGCATTCTAGGCTCCTTCCTACTTTCTCTTCTATCAGGTTTAGTGTAGCTGGATTTATGTTGAGGTCTTTGATCCACTTGGATTTGAGTTTTGTGCATGGCGATAGATATGGAACTAATTGCAATTTTCTAAATGTTGACATCCAGTTATGCCAGCATCATTTGTTGAAGATATTTTCTTTTGTCCATTGTACAGTTTTGGCTGCTTTGTCAAAAATTGGATGTTTGTCGGGCGGTGGTGGCACACGCCTTTAATCCCAGCACTCGGGAGGCAGAGCCAGGTGGATCTCTGTGAGTTCGAGGCCAGCCTGGGCTACCAAGTGAGTTCCAGGAAAAGGCGCAAAGCTACACAGAGAAACCCTGTCTCGAAAAACCAAAAAAAAAAAAAAAAAAAAAAAATTGGATGTTCATAGTTGTATGGATTTATGTCAGAATCTTCAATTTGATTCCATTGGTCCACATGTCAGTTTTTATGCTAATATCAAGCTGTTTTTATTAATACAGCTTTATAGTAGATCTTGAGGTCAGAGAGGGTGATGCCTCCAGAAGTTGCTTTATTGTAAGGGATTGTTTTAGCTCTCCTAGATTTTTTATTTTTCCATATGAAGTTGAGTATTGGTCTTTTGAGGTCTCTGAAGAATTGTGTTGGGATTTTGATGGGGATTGCATTGGATCTGTAGATTGCTTTGCTAAGATTGTCATTTTTATTATTTTGGATCTACCTATTCATGATCATGGGAGATCTTTCCATTTTTTTGATATCTTTTTCAATTTCTTTCTTCAAGGACTTAAAGCTCTTGTCATACAGGTCTTTCACTTGTTTGGTTAGGGTTAGCCCAAGGTATTTTATATTATTTGTAGCTATTGTAAAGGGTGATGCTTCTCTGATTATTTCTCAGTCCATTTATCATTTGTATATAAGAGGACTACTGATTTTTTGGAGTTAATCTTGTATCCTGCCACATTATTAAAGTTGTTTATCAGTTTTTGGAGTTCCCTGGTAGAATTTTGGGGTCACTTATATAGACCATATCGCCTGCAAATAACAAAAGTTTGACATCTTCCTTTCCAATTTGTATTTCCTTGATATCCTTTTGTTATCTTATTGCTCTAACTAGAACTTTGAGTACTATATTGAATAGATATGAGGAGAGTGGAAAACCTTGTCTTGTACCTGATTTTAGTGGAATCCCTTTAAGTTTCTCTCCATTTAATTTGATGTTGGTTGTTGGCTTGTGGTAAATTGCCTTTATTATGTTTAGGTACATTCCTTGTGTTCCTGATCTCTCCAAGACTTTTATCATGAAGGGATATTAGATTTTGTCAAAGGCTTCTTCAGTATCTAATGAGATGATCATGTGTTTTTTTTCTTTCAGTATGTTTATATGATGGATTACATTGACAGCTTTTCATATGTTGAACAATCCCTGCATCTCTGAGATGAAGCCTACTTGATCATGGTGAGTAATTTTTTGATGTGTTCTTGGATTCAATTTGCCAGTATTTTATTGAGTATTTTTGCATCAATGTTCATGAGAGATATTGGTCTGTACTTCTCTTTTTTTATTGCATCATTGTGTGGTTTGAGTATCAGGGTAACTGTAGCCTCATAAAAAGAGTTTAACAGTGTTCCTTTTGTTTCTATTGTGTGGAACAATTTGAAGAGTATTGGTATTAGCTTTTCTTTGAAATTCAGTTAGAATTCTATGCTGAAGCCATCTGGTCCTGGGGTTGTTTTTTCTTGTTGTTGTTGGGAGACTTTTGATGACTGCTTATATTTCCTTAGGGGTTATAGGTCTATTTAAAATGTTTATCTGATCGTGATTTAATTTGGGTATTTGGTACCTATCCAGAAAACTGTCCAGTTCTTCTAGAGTTTCCATTTTTGTGGAGCACAGGTTTTTGAAGTATGACCTGACGATTCTCTGAATTTCCTCATTGTCTGTTGCTATGTCTCCCATTTAGTTTCTGATTTTGTTAATTTGGATAAACGCTTTCTGCCTTTTGGTTAGTTTGGAGAGGGTTTGTCTATCTTGTTGATTTTCTCAAAGAACCAACTCTTTGTTTTATTGATTCTTTGAACTGTGCTCTTTGTTTCTATTTTATTGATTTCAGCCCTCAATTTGATTATTTCCTGGCATCTACTCCTCCTGGGTGAGTTTGCTTCTTGTTGTTCTAGAGTTTTCAGATATGCTGTAAAGTTGCTAGTGTGAGATTCCTCCAACTTCTTTATATAGGCATTTAGAGCTATGAACTTTCCCCTTAGTACTACTACCATGGTGTCGCACAAGTTTGGGTATATTGTACATTCATTTTCATTAAATTCTAGGAAGTTTTTAATTTCTTCTTTTATTTCTTCCTTGACCCAGTGGTGATTCAGCTGAGCATTATTCAGTTTCCATGAGTTTGTAAGCTTTTTGTAATTTGGGTTGTTGTTGACTATAAGCCATGATGGGCTGATAAAATACAGGAGATTATGCCAGGTTTTTTTTTTTTTCATCTGTTGAGATTTGCTTTGTCATCAATTTTAGAGAAGGTTCCATGGGTTGCTGAGAAGAAAGTATATTCTCTAGTCTTTGGATGGAATGTTCTGTATGTGTCTATTAGGTTCATTTGAGTCATAATGTCTGTTAGTTCCCTTATCTCTCTGTTAAGTTTCTGTTTGGCAGACCTGTCCATTGGTGAGAGTTGAGTGTTGAAATCTTCCATTATTAGTGTGTGGGGTTTGATGTGTGATTTAAGCTTTGCTGATGTTTCTTTTACATATGTGGGTGCCCTTGTATTGGGGGCATAAATGTTTCAGAATTAAGACTTTATCTTGATGGATTTTTCCTGTGATGAATATATAATGTCTTTCTTGATCTCTTTTGATTAATTTTAGTTTGAAGTCTATTTTGTTATATATTAAGATAGCTACACCAGCTTCCTTCTTAAGTCCATTTAAGTCCACACTCTGAAATAGTGTCTGTCTTTGAAGTTGAGATGTGTTTCTTGTATGCAGCAGAAGGATGGATACAGTTTTCATATCCATTTCATTAACCTGTGTCTTTTTATAGGCAAATTATATCCATTGATATTAAGGGATATTAATGACCAGTGACTGTTAATTCCTGTGATCTTTTAGTGGTTGTGTTGTGTGTTTCTCTTCTTTGTGATTTGTTGGTGTGGGATTGTCTATTGCCTATGTTTTCATGGCATCTGACTTCCTTAGGGTGGATTTTTCCTTCTAGTGCTCTCTGTAGGGTTGGATTTGTGGATAGATATTGTTTAAATCTGGTTTTATCATAGAATATCTTATTTACTCTATCTATGGTGATTGACAGTTTTACTGGGTATAATAGTCTGGGTTGCCATCTGTGGTCTCTTAGTGTCTGCATACCATTTGTTCAGGACCTTCTGGCTTTCAGAGTCTCCATTTAGATGTCAGGTGTTAGTCTGATAGGTCTGCCTTTATGATACTTGGTCTATTTCCTTTACAGCTCTTAATATTTTTTTCTTTATTCTGTATGTTTAGTGGTTTGATTATTATGTGGTGAGATTATTTTGGGGTCTATTTGGTGTTCTGTAAGCTTCTTGTTTGTTCATAGGCATTTCCTTCTTTAGGTTGGGAAAGTTTTCCACTGTAATTTTGTTGAATATATTCTCTGCGCCTTTGAGCTGGAATTCTCCTTCTTCTATTCCTATTACTCTTAGGTTTGATCTTTTCATGGTGTCCCAGATTTCCTGGGTGTTTTGTGTTATGACTTTGTTGGCTTTAATGTTTTCTTTGACTGATGAATCTACTTCCTTTATCTTATCTTCAATACCAGAGATTCTCTCTTCCATCCATGCACTCTTAGATTTTCATTTTCTTAGATTTTCCATTTCCAGCATTCCCTTGGTTTGTGTCTTCTTTATTGCCTCTATTTAAGTTTTCAAGTCTTTAACTGTTTCCTTCACCTGTTTGATTTTTTTTTTGTCTTCTTGACTTTCTTTATTGGATTTATTGATTTCTTCCATTTTTTGTCTTTTCTTTGATTTCTTTAAGGAAATTTCTCATATCTTTAAAGGCCACTATCACCTTCATAAAGTCATTTTTAAAGTCATTTTCTTCTGCTTCTTCTGTTGTTCAGGTCTTGCTGTAGTAGAACCACTAGGTTCTGGTGGTGCTACATTGCTCTTTATGTTTTTGAATTTTTCCTTGAACTGGCATCTACCCATCTCTTCCTCCAATTGGTGCAAAAGGTGTCTGTGTCTCACTCAGGGAGCTGCTCTTGGTTCAATTAGCACTGGTAGTGTTTGTATCTCAGGAAGCTTCTTGGGTCTCTGGTGGATGGTTGTGTTTTGGGGACAGAGTGGGGCTTGTAGATTGCAGGGTCCAATAAGGGTGGTGATGGAAAGGCCACCTTCAGGATTCTTGCCTGCTGGCCTGCAACTGGGCCTGCAATGGGTGGGGGTATGGGAGCACAGGTTGTGCCCCTGGGACTAAGCCTAGAGGCCACATTCTATTTTAATAATTTTTTGTTGCCTTGAAGTTCAGAAAAGGTCATAGGTTTTGTTTAGGAAGAGAGTCAG